ATCGCCGAAACAACAGCCCTTGGTCGGGTAAAACCCGAGTCATTCCGGTACGTAGAAACGGCTGTCGTGGGAATGACTGTGTTGGTGTGCCCAGCATTGCTGTGGACCGACCCCATTGAGGCTGCACGCTTCCTGGGGCTTCCGTTAGTGGAGCTCGACGACACCGACTGAGATATTAACCGATCTGGGCGGGGTTGTTTTAGCCGCTACAACAACAACAACAACAACCACAGCCACAAGCTATTTCGCTAGCTACATCAGTAATAATACACCACAACACACAGCTACATATTGTGGGCAGTTTAGAGCATTTAGAATATTTTAACTTTTGACAGCTCTTGCTACATACCACAGCCTCACCATTCTGGTTAGCCAGTTATTTTTCAGTCGACAACTGTAGTTTTGAAATTTTAGAATTACTACAGGGTATTTTTCTTAAAAACATATGATTTATAAAAATATAATTCATTTATAAAAAATATATAATATAATAAAATAAAATGTCTGTCATACTTGGGCGTACAAAATTGTTGATTCTTATTTCCCCCTCAAAATCGAGCTCACGATCCGGCCCTGCATGTACACACATGTACCCATAACCCATCCATATTAAAACACTGCACGGATACATTTGAGTTGCCCAACAAGACATTTGTTAGCTCTTTATCTCTCCATTCTCTTGTTGAGTGCGGGCAAACACAAACCGCTTGGAGTATGCGTAAGTAAAAACCCGATCAATAGCAAGAAAAGAAGTACTGGCTTTGCAAACACAATTACCTCGACTGAAGAATATCCGCAAGCAGTGTACTGTGCTTGCGAGTATTTGAGTATTTTCATAGAGCTGTTGATTGTTGGTGTTTGGGTTATGCTATTTACGTGCTATGCACACATGTAGATACATTTGTATTTACATCAAAGATATTTTTGATGCTTGCCCTTACTACTACGTTATTTGATTAAAAATATACAATATATATGCACATACATATGTACATACATATGTATGTATTTATTTCAGCGAACGCCTTTGCTGCAATAAGGTAATGAATAAAGTTTTGAAAACTAGTCAATGTTAAAGAAATGTGTATAGTTTATTTGTTAAACGAGAATGGGTATAATATTCCAGATTAACATTTTAAGGAAAGAAAATATAAAATTAACAAAAGAATGATTTTCAAAAAAAAATAATTATGTATGTATACGCCAACCATTTATTGAAAAGTTTTGCAATGCAAGATTTAAACGTTTTGCAATATTAAATATTCTACAAACTTTCATAAAAATTTCTAGCTTTTTCATTAGATTTGGTTGGATATGCAGCTTACTAGCCCATTCAATTTTAATAGAATAAAGTGCAAGTTTGAAGTAGCACGAACATACAGTTGATATTTTGGAATTTATTGACGGTGTCAGTTATTTCTTCCATACGAAGTATGTTAACGCGATTCTTTTTATATGGAGAAAATGACCAACAGCTTCAACAAAAAAAAAATTACCAATATCAACGGTAAGTCTTGCTTTGCAAACTTGCACTTCATTGTACTAAAATTGAATGGGCTACAAAACTGCATACTTAAAACCATTCTAAGTAAACCAATAAAAGAGCTCGATATTTTTACGAAAAATTGTTAATTTTTTCTTAATATAGCTCAAAGTCTCAAGTTTGGATTTATATGATTTTTCTTAAAGAATAAACTATATTTTTATAAAAAGTAATTGAAATAAAATAATTTAAAAAAATGTATAGGCAAAACTTGTCAATATGTGAGTTGTTTATAATCGTGAAACATACATATACACAGAGCTGTGTAAGTGTGAAATCATTTTCAATTTTAAATCAACA